AAAAAACAAAACAGTTTTTTTTGTTTTTCTAAACGTTTCGTAAAATAAATACTCCGCTCAGTTGATTAATAATCAAACCGCGAACAAACATTAAGCCAACCCATTCATGCATAATAAAAAGACCTTCAACTGTATGTTTCATGCATGACTTTAGTTTGAAGTACCATGTGTTGAAATGTACATTATTTAGGCATATATTAGGTTCGTTTAATCTTTATATATTTATGTAATATAATTGATTTAATTTATAATATTAAAATATAGATAACACGAAAATAATTTATATAAATAATTAATTTATTTTGATGCTATTTATTATATAACACATTAAAAAAAAGTTTATTACAAAATCTTTCTTTCATTATTGTGATACTGTTGCAATAAAAATTATTATTTATTAGAATATAATGAGATTTTAGAAAGTTACCGATTTTGTAATCTATATTGATATAATAATTAAGAAAGTAAACACTTTTACAAATACCTTTAAACTAATATAAGTTATTTTTCATAAACTCAATGTAAAAAATTTCTCATATTGAGATATCTAAATTTACCAGTTTTCTTAAGTTGCTCTGAAGTAAAATTGAAAATAAAACTATCATTAAAAATATATATGGATCTTCTATCTCAAAAGTTTGCTTGCACTATAACATTGACGACGAACCTTAGAAAAGCGTATCAGAGGTTACACGGTGAAGCATTTTGATTGACACGCCAAAAAATATAATTTATATTCATCATATCTGAGAAATATTGGAAGATATACGTATCCAAGTGATACGGCCTCGAGTAAATATATTGTTTGTTGAAAAATTGTAAAGATGCGGCTATTTAGAACTATGATCAATATTTTACAAAATTATCCAACATACTCACCTCTAGCTTACGCGGAGTGTTAATTTTTCTATACTTTTATCAATGGCATGGACATAATTGCCGAAACAATTGTTTTGGATAATTAAGATTGAATATTAAAGTATAGTTGTTAATATATATGTTACGGTAAAAAGTACATAATCGGTAATAGTATACATTTACCAACGTATATCGGTAAAAATGTGTGATTGAAATAATATATATTATTATTTTATTTAAACACTTTTTTCTAATAATATTATTATAAACGTATATTAATAATATTTATTACAGTACAAAGGGAGTGCTATAATGAATGGCACTTTGAATTACATTTTGCTTTGTATTTCTTGCAAATCCTTGTTATCCTCCAATAGTTAGATATTCCTTTGCTTGTTATTGCACTGCTTTACACTGATACATTACAATATTAAGAACATCATCAATAGATCTGCTCCTCCTACCTACATGTAGTGAATAATGATGACTTTTAGGAATGACAGTTAAAGAAACAAATAGATGTGCAGCAGTGGCCATGGTCCGTCCATAGATGCTGTGGATGCGGTGCAAGGAAAGCAGTTGTCTTTAGAATTTATTGAATTTAATTTTACTAATGAAAATTAAATGCTAAACGGAACTGTACAAAATCAACGTATTTCTTTTTTTTGTGACATATCTTATATATTTTATTCGTATGCCAAAGCGTTAATAAATAAATAAAATCAATAACCTCTAAATAAGCAGGTTTATAAACCTATGAACATTTGCCGACGTCATTAGGTAAATGTAAGTTGTATATATTTACCGCTAAATATAATATTTTTTAAAGGCTTTAAAAGGACATTAAAAGTATTGTTATAAATATATAAATATATTTGTCCCTCTCGTATAATTTTTAAATTGTTGTGAGTGATAAGTTTGGAGCGACCAGACATATATGTTTGTAGTTGTTCTGCGACCCCATTGTTAGTATATAATATTATCATTTCGTGACCTACTAATTTACTTTAATTTACCCAATATTGGATTCGTTGCTAATGTTTTTGCCTATAACTTATAATTAGAACAACTCATTAGTATTTCATTTTTAAAATAAAATGCAAACATTTTTTAAATATTCGGCTCTACAAACGACTTCCACAACGTATTACTGAGCATCAAGGTATTGCTCGATTTGTTCATATATTGTAAATATATCAGAATTACTAAAAACAAGTGACTTACCTGAAAGATGACTTTAGAAAAAAGAATGTGGAAAAGTGAAATAGTTCCAACAAGTTATACATTTTTAATATAAAAATTAATAAATTAAATATATAAATTATATCATGAGAATTGTTATTCGTTCCAATCTAATAATGCATATATTAATCGTAATCGTATTCGTCATTTGTGAAAGCTCTCATCAAAGGAGTCCTCTCAGTATTCAAAATAAACACTGAACTATCCGCTTCCAATTCCACATAGTTATATCTTGAAGCCATTTGCATGAATATCATCATATCACCAACAATTAATATAGCAAATAAAAAGAATTCATATGCCTAAAGAAAATGATATTATTAATATTATTTTATAAATATTAAAAAAAAATATAATTTTGTAAAAATCAATTAATTTAATTACCTGACTTTGGAAAATGTTCAATTGCGTTATAAGTATGACCATGAAATTTCCGAACGCAACGGATAAGTACCAAGCAGCTATAGTGACAGTTTTCATACTTTTAGGAGCCTGAAAAATAAAGAAACAAAATAGAACATCTATAATAAGACATATATTTTATACTTGACTTAATATACCTGAGTAAAGGAGAACTCTAAACCTGCTATTCCGAACATGATTTCGGCGACGGATATCAAGAAGTATTGCGGTATTAGCCACATTATGTTCACATCATTAGGTGGTGACATGGTGTACAGCTTCGCAAACTGCAAACAGTGACTTTATTTTTATCTTTGCATTTAGTGGATGGAAGATAGTTATTTTTGAATAAGTTTCAGAAATTATCGGGAAAGAAAGAAATCATGTTAGTTGTAATAAAACTGTTGGATTAAAATGAATTTAACAATTTAAAAAAATCAAAAATATTTATAACCAAAAAAGACTCTCATAAGTGCGATAAAAAAGTAATATATTATGTCCATGACTGGGAACATTATAATTAATAATCCTATTATCGAATTATTAGGTATAATACAAATATTATAGTTATAGTAAATACTTTTTTAATATTGTTTTAAAATATAAATTATTATTTTTATATTCAAACGTAGTCCAAAAGTAGACCACATATGTTATTGTAGATAAACATACAAAGATAAATAATAATTTATTCATGTTTATAGTTTAATGTAACTCAATCTCATTTTTCCTTTATCTTGATTGATTTGAAATATTAAAATAAACTTTAGGAGGATTAATATATTTATTATATTTGGGGATGAGATTATCAAACGTTGATTTGAAGATCGGAAATTGCGTATTGTAGCGGTTAATAATGTGATAATGGTGTTTCCTATATTTAGGTCGAGGTTATATATGTTTTTTTAACGAGGAATTGAGTTATGACAAGAGAACAATTTTTACGAATAATAAAGTAAATACAATCTAAGCAATTATAAATTTTCTATATACATTAAATTAATATAATAAAATTGCACAAAAATATGAATCTATAATATATAAATTATTAGATATAATGAAATCAATATTATTTGGAATTTAGACGAGACGTCATAGAATTAAAATTTACTAACAATGTTTAAATAATATTATTTTCTAAGAAATAAGTGTATGATAAATGATGTGATGTGATGTGAATGAATTAGATAAATTAAATTTATAAATCATCTATCTATTAGACGGATCTGAATTCCTGCTAAAATTACAATGTGAATAAATAAACAATGATTATTTCTTTATTTCTTTTTTAATAAATAATACAAAGATTAATGTAATTTCACTTGAAAGTCTATTTTTTATGTAATATATAAAATAATTAAATGTATTTTATGGAATCAATCTTATAAAATTTTATCAATTTATGCTTCTATGTAAGATAAATAGAGATAACTAAAAATAAAAAAAATCATATCATAACTATTATTTGATAAGACAAGAAAACTGCATATTTCCTCGAAATTAAATGTATAATTGATTATTGTTATATGGCTATGAACGTATGCATGTTTACAATAAAAAATACAATAAAAAGAGATAGAAATAAAGTTTCTTATTCTGCACTTATCGTGGTTTGCTTTAAACATGGCAAATTATCTGGAATGTGTTATCGGAACATCTTATCACCTATACACACGTTTATTCATTCATCTTTCATTCAAACAATACATTCGTGATATAATTAGTTACATATCAAATTCAAGCGCACGTTACAAAGTTCAATTAATTACAAATTATGTAGTTTGAAAAACTTGTTGATCTAGAATATATAGATGATAAAGAAAACATTATTTGTTGTTAGAATTTATAAATATCCACCGAAAATTAACCTCATCCTATGTTTATAACGTAAGATTAGACATGTCAATCATTTTTTGTATTGTAGCTACTAATCCTATATAAACTCAAATTAACTTATTTTAGAAATGCAAATACTATATCTATTATTTTGATTTAAAGTAAAATTAAAACGTTTCTGATTACCTCAATGATTCTGCCTCTTTCTACTAAGACAAGTGTGTATATTCCTCCTAAGGCTAGTTGTAAGACTTTGTCACTAACAGGAACTGTTATTACAACGTTCGATTGTATGCTAAAAATGTATCTGAAATAAAAAATAATTATTATTTAACATGTAAAGACAGCGGTTTCCAAACTAAGAGGCGCGATCTAGTTCCAAAGTAGCAGCGAAAAATTGACTAGAATTGTAATTTTCAAAAATATATTGGAATTTATACAGATCATTAATGTAAATAGAAGACATTTTGGAAATAGAAACAAGCCCCCAAAATTATATTTTTTTAAAGGGGGCGTAGTAATATAAAGTTTGGAAACCTTGCTTTATAGAGTCAAGTCTCCTTTTGTGTGGATTAAAATTGTATTTATTTAAATCCTCGATTAGTCCGGTTTTAAACAGTCCTGGGGGAACCAATTACCCGTACTAAGCTATATTTAAATTTTGAGAGTTTTTAACTTTTTCAAAAATTGTATTATCTATATACGATAATGTATAAGATAAAGTGGATACAAATGACATATTTTTCAATACGACAAAAAATATTTAAACAAAAAACTGTACAATAATATTTTGTTAAATATTTTTTTAATATATCTTTCTTAAAATTCATTAATATATGGTGATCCATATATTCAAGTGATTTAAAACATGTTCAACATTTGTATATTTTTTTCAATAGACTTAAAAATATGATAGTCTGAATATTTCTAAATAAGAACTTCTCTCTTGTTTTGTCCGTCTGTAATTCTTGTTGCATATGTTCTTGCATTATCATGCTATACATTTATTGTTTGATTGTTTACTAAAACTGATCGTTTTTTAAGCAGTCCCGTTTTTAATCTTATTAATTGACCATAATACACCTCTACTGTAACAGTCTGATCAGGTTTTAGTAATTCATAATTCATTATTTTCAAAAGAGAGAACTTTTTTCAAAAGAAAGGGGAAGATCATTGCCTTCCCCTTCATTTGATGAAATCCACTTCTTCTAAGAAACGAATCGGTTTCATTCCTGAACAACAGAGATGAACAGATGATTATTCGTTGTTCTAAAACTTTCACTAAGTTCGTGCGGTATCCATGTTTCTTCTCTATTTTTTTCCAAAACTTTTCAAATGATCTTTCACTGTTGACCAAGGTTTTGTGACAATTCCTGGATTGAATTACGCTGATCGTACTCTAGAGTTTAAAGTGTAATTATCGATCTTAAGAGGTCTGTCTAATTTTGGTTTGTCCTTGAACTTCTTATCATCATTTCGGAAATTTCGAAACTATCTATAGTACTTCTGGATTACAAACCAAAAAAAATGTCTAAACAGAAAGATTACTAATAGAGCTTCATCGATATCAAATATAATAAGTTAACTTAAAGACAACTGGCGAAAAAATGGTTTAAAAAAAATGCAACAAAAAAAATGCATTTCTTTTCTCTTTGCCTTGCAATACAATGTAATAAATGTGCAATCTTGGCATCAAATGAGAATACAGCAGTAGCCTGAATATCTACAGGAAAATTTAGATAAGCTACAAGAATAACTTAAAAATGGAGAATAGCAGATAACGAAATGAAATCCGTGCATATCATATTCACGTTAAAGAAAGACACCTGCCCAACTATAAGACTTAATGGACAATATCTGCGGAAAGCAACAAAAGTCAAATAAATAGGCATGCATCTAGATAGAAGACTCACGGAATTATCAGTGGAAAATAAATCACTTATATACAAAGTAATACTACATGAAACTACATGGAAAAGTCGAGTGGATTCACTCGACAACAGTGAAACCACAAACAGGCTGAAGAGTTGCAAA